AGGTACAATAGGTACAGTAGCTAAATTATAATTAACAAAATCTTAGGAAATTTTTCTTTTTTTTTTTAAAGTTTAATTATTACCTTTTTTTATTGTTTCCCATGTCCATTCATTATGATTAGTAAAAAATGGATGAGCTTTTACTTCTAGAACACCATTTTTACCTAAACGTACTGATCTAAAACATAAAAAAACAAAATACGTCAGAGATAAATTTCTTTTTTAGATAGAGATAAGATAAATCCTACCGATCAGTAAGAAAAGCACATATTAAAGTACGTGCTTCACTAGATAATGGAATTTCTTCAGGAAAAGCAAGATTATCTTCATGATGCATTATTTTATGATATGTTCCAACTAATGATTCAGCATAAAATGGTGTTTCACCTAATAACATTTCATAAAGGAAAACACCCACAGACCACCAATCAACTTCACGTCCATAAACTCCTGTGGTGCTTTGTGATTTTAATATTTCCGGACTTATATAATCCGGTGTACCAACCGCCGTATCAGATCGAACGAGACCATCCTTAAAACATGCATAAATCATAAAATACAAAGAAAAAAAGTTTTCCTTTTTACTTTATCCATTTTAATACAAGTACCAAAATCAGCTAATTTTAAATGTCCACGAGCATCAAGTAACATATTATCAGGTTTAATATCCCTATAGAAAATGAAAACCTCAATAATTATAAATCGAAATAAAATATTTTTTCTTTATACCGATGAATATAACCCATACTATGAATAGCATCAAGAGCAAGTACAACTTCAGCACAATAAAAACGTGCTGAACTTTCATTGATTTCATAACGTTCAAGTAATGTGATTAAATCACCACCTGGCATATAATCCATAATCATATATAACTGAAACATACGAAAATATTTCAATAAACGAACAATATACGACCTAATCTTTATTCACATGATCATATTATCTAAATATATTGAAATAGTAAGTGAGTCTTTGATACGATTTTAAAACTAGAACGATTCAATTGTCCTATTACGTATCTTGTATGAATAGCAAACTCTTTCAAGTATTTAGACTTTCTTTTTAAAATCATGATTAATGCACAGTTGAAGAAATATTGCCGAGTACAGACAGTAATGAAAGATATTCATCGACAGTTTTCGATCTTTTATAAACTCACATGATTATTCTTTAATAAATAAACCTAACAAAGCGACTTAGAAATGTTGAATAACAACTGATTGCGTGTTATATAATGAATGAAATTTATTTACAAAACACGTCAACAACACTGCCTGTTTACAAAAATAAAGGTCATGGCCATTTTCAGAATACAATATTTTGAAGCTGTTTTCTTTTCAAGTGAATAAATCAAGAGAAAAAATTCTTCTCTTTCGATCTATGCAAAGTCGACATTCGTAGATATTTCTATTCAAGTGTTAGAAGACTTTTCCTGAGACTTCCGATTCCACTCTATTGACCCGTAATCATCCGGAAAATTGACTAAAAAGAGTTAATTCACCATACTGATTCGAGTAATGATACTTGCTTTTAGTTTTGAAGTGATTTCACATGAAGACTGATTGAAGGATTTTAGAAATATTTCGATAAACAGTATTGGATCATTGCAAACCACAAAAACAAATATCACTATTTGACTGAGTACGGTGAATTAACTCTTTCTAGGTACTTTTCCGAGTGATTACAAGTCAATCGGCTGAAATAGGGAGTGTTAGAAAATCGTTTTCAAAAAATCTTCACCGAGAAGTTAACTAATTGCTGAATTACTGACCAATCAAATTCCGACATACCTCGAGTCTTTCTCTCTTGAATAACGAAAACCGGAAGTCGCTAGCTGGTTCCATTCTCAATTTATTCAAAAGTTAGTTACAACCATTATCTTTATATTTCATATAACACTTTTTCTTTGTTTTGAATAATAAATGCTAGAAAACTGTTACAAAATATAAGAGATCTCGATTGATAGGATGAATTTATTCAAATAAAGAAATCTTTCGAATAATCATAACAAATATTGAAATATCTTTTGTGAACCTCGCAGAATGAATGCCTATATTTTGAAAAAAAAAAAACTTAATGTTTCCATCATACAACAATATGCTTTGTTCAGTAAAGACATTTGTTTAGACTTTTATCTATAAGATAAGACAAGACAATAACTTTGCGTCCTTCACTGTTATGACATTGTCTCTTCGATATGTATATTATGTCTTACATTTTTCGAATCTTGAAATGCATAATGAAGTTTAACAATCCAATCACTATTTGAAAAAGCCATAATATTACGTTCTTCCCAAAAGAAAGCACTATCGGAACGTTTAAGCTAAAAAGCCACACAAACAAAAAAAGAAAACGAATGCATTTGTAAACATATTCAAATCATTTTTTTTTTTCTAAAAATTCATTTTACCATTTCAAATTTACTTAATGTTTTCATAGCATAAACTTGTCCAGATGATTTTCGTCGTACAAGATCAACAGTACCAAAAGCACCACGACCAATAATTTTAATTGGTTCAAAATCATCAAAATTAATTCGTCTTTCACGGATGTCTCGTGTAGATGCATAAACTATAAACATATTAACAAAAATATATATAAATAATATCAACAAATTATTTTAAACATACATTTTGAATAGAATGTATCGAAATTTTTTGTCTTTTTAAGACCTTCGGAATCATAGACTAAAGCAATTATGGAATCAAGAAGACTATCTATTGATATTGGTGAACGTGCATCAATAATACGTTCTTCAAGTTGTCGTGTACGTTGATTTAAATCTTTTCCTGAAGTAGCCATTTTATTGACCATTATATTTGTACAGAAGATTTTTTAAATAGAAAATCATAATTGAGCACCTATTATATCATTTACTCTTTCACATTCAATCATAATGAGAAAGAAACAAACTAGAAGAAAACAAAAAAAAATATTATATTTTATTGATATTAAATTTAAAAGAATTTGATAAAATTTAATAACAACAACAACAACAACAACAATTTTCAGACATAAAAAATCAAACTCATACACCTGCCCACACTAAAACAAACAAGACAATGAATATATATATATATATATATATATTTATGTTATATTATATGACTCAATTAAACAACAAGCTAAACATCAAGTGGATAATTTATATTAACCAATAGTGAAATAGTTTTAATGACTAAAATCTAATGACATCTATTCATAAAAGAAATAAAATAGTAATTAAAAAATTTCATGATTATAGAAATATAATTTGAAAATTCTATTCAAATTATGATTTAATAAATCATAACATGTGAGATGTGTTTGAAAGTTTTTCAAGGACTTTATAGTAAAAATCTGCCAGAAATCACCATAGGGATTTACAAAGAAGAGTTTATAACAACTTACTAGAAATTGAAAAGTGAATTTAAAATGAATCTACAAATTTTGTAAGAAGTTCGGAGAAACCTAATAAGTATTCCAATCAAGTCTTATGCTTGTTTATGAAAGTAACTCGACTTTATTTTCCATTGTCATAAATCAAACTTCAATTAGAAAAAAGAAAAAAAATCATATTTCACTTTGTAAAAGATTATTTTCACTTGAACTAATTCGAAACTTTCGTCTCAAGAGATCAATCGATTAGTGTTTAAAGTTACCCAATATTGAAACGACGAGTTGAAGTTCATAAGATATAGTAAATGTCGAAATAATATTTATTATATATAGAAAAAAATAACACTCTTGCAGAAGACACTTATATCATTTGATTGTTCACTATGTTATATGCTTCTCTAGACGCAACACAATATAAGAAATACTATTATTGGACTCTCATAAATTCGCTTAAAAATCACTAGGGTATTACTGCGCACATCATAGTTTTTGTCACCATTCTCTGAAAAACAAATATTCCCTGAGGATATATTAGAGAATTACTGATGAATTTAAGAGAATGTTACATTTTTAAGAAATGTTTTGTTGATTCACTAGGAACTTTTTAGTTTGTTTTTGTCATACTACTAAAAACAACAGACTAGAAGAATATTTTCAGTCTGCTGGTTTTTTTTCTCTATGATCTATAATCATCAAAGAAATGAATATAGAATCGTACTATTTTACTATAAAATATTTTCTTGTTTTAAACGAAAAATATTTATATCATTACCGAAAAATAAAGTCTTGATGTTTTCTTTTTTTCTTCTCTAAAAATACTTCCGTTGTACCATATTCGACGAATGTCTTCAATACATAGTGATAATTCCAAATAGAAAATGAATGGCTTAGTTCTTACTTAATAGAACTGAAATACGGATGTGACATATTCCTTTTAGTTTTATTGATCTAATAAAAAATGTGCATCTTGAAAAGCTTCTAATAGACGATAGATTTTCTCTATGAATATACGATCGGAAGAAAAGAATATTTTTCGGATAAATATTTCTTTTTTTTTATTAATGTGTGGTACGAAGAATATCATTAATTTGAATCGACTTTCTCGACGCGCACATCAAAAGTTGTCATGCTAATCTCAAGAACGGAAGCTCAAAAAAAATACTTATTCAAATATGAAGTAAAAGTATTGAGATCAAACTGACACAATTTTTTTGTTATCAGATTATCCCAAGGAAATTTCATTTGCTTAAGACACGATGACGACAACAAATGTTCGACAACAGTCGTTTTGCTTATGTCTAAGACACCTATAAGTACTATTCATGATATATAATGAATTAGAATGATAATTTCGCAATAGTTTCATTTCACGTTTATTGTGTATTTAATTAGCTAGCTGATGGAAACATAATCTTATCTATTTACAACAATAGAAATGGGGAAAAACATTTTATGATAAATCGCAAAAATTATGATTCATGTTTTTATGAGATATTGATTTTTGCAGCAATCGATATTAATAATTTTGCATTGCATTTTGTAGTAGAGTGAAGTTATTTAAAATGAAACTTTTTTTTTTTTTTAGTTTAATTTACTATAAAATTATACAACAGTTTGTTTTAAAATTCATCCTTTTGTATGAGAATTTCTGGTAGACTAGAATTTCCTCGTTCATCAATATTAACTTGACCAATTGCTTTATTTCCATGTTCATCTTCAATCATAACTAAATGTTTCTTTTTACATTTTTCATTGTTTATTTTTTGTTTATCAATTGTATTTGATACAATCGTGTAAATCATTTGAACGAATTGTGGAATTATTAATATACCAATAAAACAAGTTAAAAATTCAATAATTAAACCAGGATAAGTTAATGGTCGACTAGTACCTTCACCTAATGATGTAAAGGCATTAAATGATATCCATATCATTTCACTTAATGATTGAAAATAATTTGTATTATTTAAATTTTTATTAATTAAAAATTCAACAGGTACTGATATTTGTTCAATAGAAAGAATAAATAAAGCAAAAAATAATATAATTAATGCAACTGATTGAAATGTTTCAAAATAAATTGATAAACGATCAGTTAAATCATACATTATTTGATAAGCATAAGATGATAGACGAACACTACGAAAAATACGAGCAACATATTGAATAACAAGTAAAGTATATAACCATGTAGGTGATATTGGCTAAATTAATAAAATATTGTAAAGGAAAATTTTTGTTTTGCTTACCCATATAAAAAGTAATAAAGAAATTGGTATTAATGAAAAAATATTAATTAATATTAAAAATAATGTTGGAAATTGAAGTTTAGGACGAATAAAATAACCTAGAAATAATTCAATATAAAAAAATATTAAAATAAATATTTCAATAGTTAATGTTTTTTTTATAAAGAAGATTTTTTGATAATCATTATTAATAAATAAATTATTTGTAATTTCAATAAATGTTAAAGATGTTATTATAGAACAAATTGTTATAAGTCCACTAATAATTCGAATTAGATTATATTTATATTTTGAAATATTAGAATCAAATGTAAACCAAAATGCTCGACGATATTTACCTAATCAATAGATGAAAACTTTTGTTAGAATCAATTTAAATCAGTGCCAATGAGTCTATATATAAGAGTTAATTTTATTAGAAATAAATGCGGAAACCTTGGATTTAAATCCGAGAGTTATGTGTACGTCAAAAAGTGAATGAGACAGATGAGTCCTCCTAGAAGGTGTGGACATCAATATTATCCTGGAAAACCTTTTCTATAAAACACTTGATTTCTATTGGCTACTCTTAACCAATAGGATTTGGGGATGAATACAGCTCAGATTTGAACTCTGCACCTTGATTTATCCTACGAAAGGCGTTTTTCCTATAACTTGATTTCTATTGGTTACTACTCAACCAATAGGATTTCGAGGCAAATGGAGCTCAGATTCGAGTTCACCGCCCAGTC